GTACAGTCCCGCCTCTTGTGAGTAAACGAAGATTTCCAGGTCTCCGTGTACAGGATTAGCTTACTTTTTTTTTTTTTTTTGCAGTTTACAGTTGTCTTACAGACTGTTGCTGTTGTTCTAAGTTTCCAAATTGAATGGTCTCGCAGTTGTATCCTTTTCGTTCTCTGACTCGGTTAACTTGCTTTATTCTGCACAGGTTCATCAGCACTGCGTGCCAGGACTACATCATGCCAGAAAACAAAAGCTGTACGCTGCTGCAGCAGTCCAGGTCTACTGACAAGAAGAAGAAAAAGAAGAAAAGAAAGAAAGCAACTGACTCCACCACCCCTGCAGAAAATACACGTAAATAGCTTCATTTTTTCTTTTAAGTAGCAGCATCTCAATGTAAACATAATAAGGAAAAATCCTGCAGTCAGAATTGCATGAACAAAGTGTACTTATAGTTTCAAAAGCACTCAGTATGTAGGAAAATGACCACAGCCAATTACATTATACTGTATCATAGCTTTAGATGTGTAAGTAGCATGTTAATGTGTTTGATTGAGGTGGAGCTAATTTGAACTACTTTAGTAGCATTGTTATATTAGTAACAATGCACTGTATTTTATAAACTCTCACTAGGTTTTGTATTTACAATTTTATAATACAAACTAGGAACTACAGCTGTCAAATAAGTGAAGTAAAAAGCACAATAATTATGTCTGAAATTTGATGAAGCAGAAAACTAAAGTGGCATAAATCTAGTTTTAACCCAAAAAGTGGATAAATATTTTTACTCAAGTACCTACTATGCCCAACAGCATGGATACACCACCCGGTCCATCAACAGAGTACTGCTAGAATGAATGATTTAACTCTTTAAATTCTGAAGAAAATTACATTTTAATTGTTTTAATTTGAATCCAGGAATATTATATTGATAGATTAGTTCTACAATTATTATTATATCATACACTATAGTAAAAGAATTAGTAATACATACAACAGGCCTGTTTACTGTTCCATCATGGTCACTGACATCAGTCATCACTAACGTGTTATAGACAAACAATTAATTACGTTACATACATTTTCTTTTCAGAATTTTTTGTGGGACATTTTATGTCTTTACTAGTGAGTTGACAGAGAGATGGGGAATGACATGCAGCCAAGGTCTCCACCTGGACTTAACTGGGGACATTGTACTTCATGGTCTGTACCCCTAGGTAACTATATAGCTTGCCGATGCATATCGAGGAGCACATTGGCTGGGTTATCTGGTCTCCAATACAGACACAATAGTTGCTGTGAAGCTCTAAATGTTTGTTAAAAAAAATTAATTACATGTCAGGCCTTCACTGGCCTTCAAAGACAAACCAGCTTGGAATCTGTAATCTTTTTGTGCATTCCCCTCACAGAAATGGAGGATTGAAAAATAGATTTGGGACGGGAGGCTTTGTAACAGCAAAGGAAATTAACTTATTGTGCCACATTCTCTTTATTTAAATAAGATCCTCTAGAAGCAGACCATGAAATACATATTCCTGATGCACTAAATGTTGCCAAGGAACAGTATTGTCATATAAACTGTCACATAATGAAAAGCCTAAAAGTCCTAAAACTTCTCTCATAGCATGCAGATGTAATTAGTCATGCTACAGAGTTAAGTAGAACAGACTGAACCAAGAACTGGAAAAAGAGTTTAAACTCACCCTAATTTTTCATTGCTTCAGCAGTTTAAATGAAGGTCAATGTAAATGTACGCAATGTAAAAAGTAGTTTGGATCATGTGGGGGTGGTAGAGGATACCCTGCAGGGTTGAATAGGTCACTAGAGAATAGGCCCCCACTGTCGTTCCCCTCACCAGCCTTGTATAGCTCATTACTGTAAACCAAGCCATTAGCCCTCCAACTCCAGAGGGAGTCATTAGTAATCTAAACCCTCAGTTGTCTGGTGCTGTGCATGCGCCTACATGTTTATGTTGCCTTTCTACAGAGAAACCTCAGACTGTATCTTTGCATCCAGAGACCTCGCCAGTGTCCTTGCTGACCCCTCAGAGTCCCGGTCAGCCCCAAGGCCAGCTGCCAAGGCTCAGAACTACTAGCAAGAAGGACGGAGAGCGTCTTGCTGGCAGTTTCCGGAGGAGCAAAAAACACCCAAAGGATTCACCAGCTCCACTGACAGCAACAAACAAAACCAGCAGCTGTGGAGCTCCAGCACAGGGGCATCTGTCAGAGCTCAGCACCCAGGCCAGAGAGAGCCTGAGGTGGGAGGGAGTGCTGGAGGACCCCCAGGCTGAGGAGAAGAGGCTGGAGCTGTACAGGGCCAGCCGGCGACAGCGTTACAACGCACATAGAGAGGCTCTATTAAAGGAAACCCTGGATGCCTTGAGACAGACTTTTCCTAAAGAGAGCACAGAGACTGAATCTGACCAACATGAGAATGCGTCACTCCTGCATTTGAGCATAGACTGAATTAAAGAAGCAAATGGGAGCCTTATGCTGTTAGTCATCACAGGCTTTATTTGTTCACAGTTTAAAATAGATTTAGCCATGGTGAGGCACAGAGTGAAGGTCCTTGGGTGCTGTTAAGACGTTGGACTGAAGACAAACTGAGGATGTTGCCAATTCAATACCCTTTAAAGCACCCGTTAGAGATGCTTCCTCTGGCAGGTACAAAATACGTATCCGCAGTGCCATGACTGTCAGTAGACGAGGACAGGACAATCCTCCTGCTGAATAGGCCTGTTAAAAACTTAATAGAGGATTTTCAGAGTTTATCTTGTGCTTCTGAATTATGTAACACTTCCGGAGAAGACCCAAAGTTGATCTTCCAGGACTGAAACCCTATCAGGATAATACCACTGAACCCCCCTCACATCACATCAAGTTGGTGAGAAAGAGGAGGGTTGAATGTATGGGGGTTGATGATTTTAAAATATACAGTAGGTTAGCATTTCTCTTTTTTCTTTTCTTTTCTTTTCCTTCTTTCTTTTTTTTTTACAAATATTTCCAGCACCACGGTGGGTGTGGAGCTGTTGAATTAAAACTGCGATGTGACTGTAACTATTTGTTACAATGCCGTCACACTATCTAATAAAATGTGTTTGAAAGCTCGAACTGTCGTATATTGGCTGATCTGGTGGAGCAGTGATCTAATGTGCAGGAATATGCTTTTCTCTCATTCTTGCTGTTGTTTATTGTTAAGTATAAAAGGCAAAGGAGAAGGAAATTAAAATCCAATATCCAGTCTGACCTCCTCATTGAACGGTAGCTAGCAGTGATATGTTAATAATATTTTCAGTGTCAAGTTTAAATTTCATTGCTGTGATGAAGCTGATGTTGTTTACCTCCTGCAAGTGACATCAAGTAACATAGAAAAGTATTTTACAAAGAGAGACACATTATGTGTTGTTCCTGTCCATGCTGAAAGCAAAGACACCACCACTGCTGAACAATAGGTGGCAGAAAAGTCATGTATTCCCTGATGAATCAGAGGCTCCAACACAATGAAGGCAAACGAGACGATACTGTTGTGACTGAGATGTTTGTTTTATGCATGAACAAAGTGAAACACAGGACAAAAAGTTTAAATGACAAGTACATCCCTATTATATCTCCCTTGGCATCAGGGTTCACTTCGCTTAACAAAGCTGATGAACAAGAGGACTGATGTTCAGGATTGTTCTTATGCTTACGAGAGCTGAAGTTCATCTTTCACTTACGATCCTCAGGAGAACAAAATCTATATTTTCTTCCCTGAGGAATTCATAATATGCTCAGTTACTCACTGTAACAATGTGTTTGGGTGCAAAGTAAGGCTTAAAGCTGTTTCACTGTAGATAAATGAAAATAAGCCGTTGCTTGACATTATAATGCTGTAAATGCAATCCTCAAAGATGTGAGGTTGCAGGATTATCAGGGCAGGGTTGCCTTCTGCCAGTAAAATGAGCAGCAGGATGAAAATAAATTTAAAATTGGCAAGAGTGGAAAACAAGATGTGCAGTGAAATGTGCCTAAAATCCATCCTTAATGATCTGTGGTCTTATCAAACAATTAACAATTTTTGCATCAGTGTGTGAAAAAAACATTGATGCCAGGTATTTAATGTGCTCTTTTAGCCACCTTGAGTATTATAACCTGCACTGGCTTTGAAAAGTCTGCACTAGTTGAGCCGTGGACACAGTGAACATGAGGCATGCTGCTGACAGTGAAGCTAAAAGTAAATGTTGAGGTGTGAAGTAAAGACAGTGACAAACCAGCAGAGAGACAGAGGGGGAAAGAGAGAAAAACACAGCATTTCTTTTGTGCAGGTTTTGTCACACTGCCTTTGTGCGCTGTTTGCCGAAGGCTTATTGTTCCCCGTTGGTGTGTTTTGTTACCGTTGCCTGTTTCAGCATCTCTGCTTCAAAGAGATGAACACTCCCCCTCTGTTCTCCTAATCCCCCCTCCGACTCACTGACCGCACCACGTACATGGCTGCAGTGGGCATTAAGGTCACTTGTGTTTTTCCAGCAGCCCCATCTAAGTAAAAGGCCGCTAACAAACCGCCTTTATAATATTAACAGCAGAGAACATACTGAGGCATCTTAAATGTGATGTCTCTGGACTGTTACTGAAATACCAAGAAATTAAAAAAATCTAATGAAATAATACAAAATATAAAAAAAAAAAAAAGAAAAAAGAAGTCCCAAAAGCTGCATCCATCTGAGGTATCTGTTGTTTGCATGGTGGAGTCCCCCCCACCCCACCCCACCCCGCATGACGTACAATTTTAATCAAATACTTTCACTCAACCTGCATCAAAACACCCAACTCTAAATATAAACTTCACTGTGGCTGCTGCTTTTTGATGGCATCACTGAAGTCTCTCCTGAATCAATCATTTTCATCAGAGTCTCCAAACTGTTTGTCCTTGGTGAGAGTGGTGTTGATGAAGAGACAGATGAAGGACATTGTGGAGTCACGTCGACACTGTACAGACGATGTGTTGAGCGGGTGAGTGGGGAGGAAAAGTGTAGATCAGGACAACTGCAGCCAGCTCAGATCATCTGACCTGTCAGGAAAAAGAGAGGAAATACTTTTAAATTTGAGTCACAGAGCTAAAAAAAACACATATCCAACAATGTTTGAATAACGCAGGTCATTTTAAATTAAATAATTGATTTTGTTGGCCACTTGGGGGCAGTGAAAACAAGCTGTGAACACAACATTGACATATTATCACCTTTTAACTTGCTAGCAAACTTATGCTTGCTTATTGCTCACCTCAGGAATGTACGTCCAATATTCACTCTCCTTTTAGTTCAGTTTTTGGTCTCTACCGACTCCTGAGGGAAATATCCGATGCTTTAACAGCTAAATGTTCCACTGTGTTCACCGGCTAATTGCTAACTTTGTGTATTTGCTGTTTGGTGCTGAGCAGGTAGCATACAGTGAGTTTTTTTTTTTTTTTTTTACAGCTTCTTCTTTGAAAACAGCTGCTGGTGCGTCGGAAAACAAGGTTATAAGAGTCGCAAGAGTGAAGGAAAAAACAATGGGCTGAAATATGGGATAAAGCTCTGTAAAACTTAGGGCAGTTTAGGACTCCGGTGATGATTCTTTGTAGGTTCATTGTTCATTTCTCTCAGGTTGAATCCTCAAAGAATTGTCTTGTATTATTGTATTTCAAGACACCATATCAGCTCCAGTACAACAAAATGACCCAGATCCTGGAGGAGGAATGTTGACTTTTGCTCTAACAAACCAGAAAATGAGGCTTCCTAGTGGCCCCTGGGTTAAATCTGATGAAGATATAATTGCAATGTCTGTGTCTGAGTATAATAAGAGGCCTTTGCTGCATCTCCCCATCTCTCTCCCTTCATTTCCTGTTAGCTCTCTACTGTCTCCTTCTATAATAAAGGTTTATTTCATTTATCTCGACGTGCATGTAATACCCTGATCACTGTGAGGGGTGCATACTTTGTTCACTGTGAATGAAACTCTACATCTCTGTGAATATACATCATAACATCATCTGCCATTCAGAATACGTTCAACCAAAATTATCTAAAGAAAGAAAGAAACATTTTACACACTGAGCCTCTTTCTTCGTGATGACTTTTCTTGCTGCAAACCTCTCAGCTACTGCAGACGCTGCTGGGTCGTAGTTCAGGCTCGCTGCTGCGATGACTTCATCATTCCTATGGTAATATAAATAAATAAATAAATAAAAACATACATGTACATATTTGGACATTTATCTATTAAGAGAGTCACATTTTTCCAATTAAAGATACTTCTCGTTAACAACAGCAGTTTGTTATTTCTTGGCTTACTTGATGTACAATGCCAGGAACTTCATGTCCTCAAACTTTCCTTTCATCACAATCTCAGTGTATCCCTCCCCGTAGCCTGCACAAAACCAACATAAATACGTGACATTAATGGTGAAGGTGGGGAAATTAGAATTCGGTCATGGTGGCATTCAGTGAATATAGTTTGTGCATACAGTGAGTTACTGAGCAGCAGGATGAACAGGTCAGAGCACGTTAAATTTGTTACTGCTGCTCTCTTTGATTAAAGGGTCTAAATTGTGAGTTAGTTACTGACTTAAATATCATAATAAATATACAACAAAAAAACTTTTGTCTCTATATCTGCACAAGTGAGGTCGTGGTTTGTGTCCGATAGTGCTGCTGCAACCTCAGTCATGTGACTATGAAAGCCTCTCAGTGTGGCTGCACTCAGCATTATGGGTTTTGTGTCAAATTGAACAATTGCAAAGATACGCACAAACATATGCATACACATGCACATGTGGGGGTTTGTGTGTGTGTGTGTGTGTGTGTGTGTGTGTGTGTGTGTGTGTGTGTGTGTGTGTGTGTGTGTGTGTGTGTGTGTGTGTATCCACCTGCATATCGGATGGTTTTACCCAGTAGGACGGTCCAATAGAAAGGAACTGAGTTGAGTTCAGTCTGTTTATTCAGCATGTTCAGAGCTGCTATCCTCCCTAAAAACATTTAAAGTTTAACAGGAAATAAAAAACTAAACAAGATATTGTACAGAGACAGATATCAAACACATCATATATTAAAAAGAATAAGAGACAATCAGGGTATCTCTCAGTATCTACAGCTGTTTTAAAGTCTATTTTTTTCTTTTTTAAAGTAACACCACCTACCATGAAAGACATTGCTATTTTCTATCTGGACTGCTACACTAATATGTTTTCTCCTTTGCTTTATTGATTATAGTGCTTTTACAGACAGCAGTCAGGGCTGTGTGACCACATTTACATTGTTACCACATTACCATGTGCTTGTGCCATCTGCCAGTGTCCGATGTTGACCAGCCGGTTATTGGCCATCGCCAGGGGGAAGGTGGCCAGGTCACCACCACAGAACACATCAGGGACACTGGTTTGCATGTACTGCAGGAGGGAGATACAGGCAGGAAACTGAGGATTAATGGTACAGAATATAGTGAGTAATGTGAAGAAACACACATTTATTAACCCTTAGTTTCTGTTCGGGCTGGTTATTAGCTGACCTTGTCGGCTACTACAAAGTTTTTTGCATCCATCTGTATCTTACTGCCCCGCAGGAACTCTGAGTTAGGGATGATGCCTGGTGGAGGAAGGAGAACAAACATGGCTGAGTAGGTTATTGAGCTAAAACATCAAAGTTTTAAGGGCTTTTTGCATGTCATTAATAAATAGAACACAATTACAAAAAAAAACTTTTTAAGCAAAGGTTTGACATTTTGGGAAAAACACTTATTCTCTTTCTGTTGGAGAGTTACAAAACAAGATCTGTACACTCTCATATCTGTCACTGTGAAATGGCTGCTCCATTCGCTTTTCATTAGGCCCTGATCCCCCACAGTGTCATTGTTTTGTCATTATCATTTTTATTTAATCAGTATTTTTGTTGGATGTTTCTATCAATTTTTCAGGTTCAGTCATTCAATACATTGGCTGTGAGATGTGACTGATGTGACTGTAGGTTTGTATATTTTCAGTTGTTTTTGTGGGTCAGAGGGATTGATCAGCAGCTCAGTGAGGGGAAGGGGAAACAGGTGTGTGTCACTAGGCCTTAGCAGCCGTGAGGGACAGAGCAGGTGGCAGCTTTCTGTGAGGCTGCAGATTTTTATATCTTTGATGTTATTGCTTCAGTTTTTTGTTGTTGTTGAATTTTTACAGCTACAGCCAGCAGCCAGTTAGCTTAGCACAAAGACTGAAGGAAAAAGGTTTTGAAGCTGTTTTTTTTTTTTTTTTTTTGATCAATTCATACTTCATAGTATCAATGTTATATTTGATGATTACACTGTTTTATCTTACACACAGGTCGCTGTAACTTCTCTTAGACCGACACCTACCAAACCCAAATTGCAACATGGATGTTGACGATGCTCGCACCACTTCACAGTCTGTGTCATGCATCGATGTGAAATGTGTCTACATTGCACTTACCGATACCGACAATCAAAACATCAGCTGGGATAACTTTTCCACTTTTAAGCACGACCTCCTTCACCTTGAGGAAGACAACGACAGTGAGACAGAAGACAGGAAGTGGTAAGAGTGCTTATATTTTTTCCACTGCAAAACAAAATGTCACTGCGTGTTTACTGATGTTCACGTCTGAATTTTGAGTGACAAAACAAATTGGCACATCGTGTGTTTTCTCGCTTTACCTTGCCATCCACACCTTTGACCTCTGTCACATTATCATTCATGTAGAATCGCACATTTTTCTCCGACAGTATCTGCAGGAACAACAGAGTTTAAACTGCAGTTAGCTGAACTTGTAGAGAAGAAATCTGAGGATACAAATCAGGACTCCCTCCCGCTCTCTCTCTCTCTCTTTTTTTTTTACCGTCATGGTGAGTCTGCCAATTTCAGGACCCAGTGTGTTTTGGTACGGCAGCTCACTGCTGCCTATCACTGTGATGCTGGAGGCTTTGTCTATCAAATAAGATGCAACTTCCATTCCTGAAAAAAACATAACATAATATTCAAATAATGCAAACAACTATAAACATATGGAGGCCCACAGATGGCAAAAAGTATAACAAAATATAACTCAACACATCATTAAATAATTCTTTTAGTTAGATTATTAAAATGGAGAATAAAAGGAAATATAAAGAGTAAATAAATTAATAATTTCATTTATTTCTCTAACAGTATTATTTATTGATGTAATCAGTTTTATTTTTATATTTTTGGCTCATCTGATAATCCTCTCTGGGTTTCGGGCCTTTACAAAACTGATGAACTGATGAAAAAACACTTTTTATACTTTATCTGCATTTGACCATCAAATAAGCCGTTACATTCTGATGCTGTCTGCTTCATTTCCGACACATTTCCATTCTGCAAACTGCCAAACACAGTACCAACAAACGAGGTTCCCACGAGGACGACCTTGCAGCCCAGACAGGCTGCGTGGATTTGCCGCGCGTCCTCTGGTGTCTCCAACATCCTCACATTGTCCAGCTTCATGCCGGGCACATCCAGACCCTTTGCTCTAAAAGACAGGCCATGACTCTCAACGATGACCACTTTCCATACACAAAGCGCAGTTCTCATATCTGCTGTTGGTCATAGTTGACTGATTAAAATATTTTGGCCAAAACTGCCACAATCAAAACATCCATAAGGTGGCAAACTATTTTTTGGAAATTTTTTAATTTACTTGTTCTGTTCACGATTTCATTAACTAGTATTTTATATTTTTACCTGATAAATTTTTTGGTGATTTGATTTTAATTGTCCTAAATTCTACGTCATTATTTGTGTGCACATTTGCCCATTTGAGGGATGAGGGGTGGCGGCATAGGACCCCCAAAAAGGCTTGGACTGGCCCTGGTTTCAAATGAAATTGCTTGCACATGCTCGCACAGTGTTCGTGTGTGTATCTGTCTGTACCTGCAGCCTGTGGAGATGAGGAGCTGGTCGTAGCTCTGGATTGAACCATCATCGAATGTGACTGTCTTCTTGTCTGTGTCCACTGACAGCGCCTGTCAACACAGCGAGAGTCCACAAAAACTGAAACACTGTCAACCTATCCACATGCAAATTCAGTTCAAAATATGACAAGGATCAAGTCTAGGTTACATCGTCACAAGTAAGACTGAAGATGTGAGTGGACAGGAGACAAACCCACCTCTTTCCTGAGCCACACCTCAATGTCAGACTGATGGAAAAACTCCATCCTCCTCAGCACAATACTGTCACTCTCCACATTCATCACCTGTAACATGAGCGCAGGGTGTGTGTGTGTTGGTTTAAGTAATGGTTACAGAATACACACATACTCGGCACTAAATTGTTTGGCGTCAATGTTATGTTGTGTACTCTGCAGCACCTTGCTGAGTCGGGTTTTGTCGTAAGGTAAAAGCTCGTCTCTGGAGACCATGATGATTCTGCCGCTGAAGTTTTCCTGCCGGAGCGTCTCGGCGCAGATCAACGACGCAGCCCCTGCGCTTACACAGAGTAAACACACCATCACACACACACACACACACTGACATGCAGCCTATAGAAGTCTATATATTACTTAGTTATCTATGTTCATCAGTAATGTTTACTACCCACTTTCACAATGAAATTATAACCATAACTGTATAATTAGTACATGTAGCCTTTTACTACATACTTGTACATATATTCCTTTGTTTTGTTGCCTATTATTCAAAAGTGAGCCTGAAAACATTTCACCTGTGACGTTTTGTAAACTTGTATATTAGGTTTATAGCTGTAAACTGTATAACTGTAAATTAATTATCCGTCAGTTAACTAATCGATTAATCAATCAACTGTTTCAACTTTTCACACACATACATACAACACACCTACAGATACAAAGACATACAGAGTGGTCCACACTCACCTCCTCCCAGCAGCAGAATAGTGTGAGTGACTCCTGGCACTGCAGCTCCCATACCCTTTATTCTCTTTTCCTGCCTGAGAGTCTGAATCACACGTAAAACACGCCATCAAACAAACTCGTCAACAGGAAGAATTAGAAATTATTTACAAATAAAAAATGGTCAAAGGTATAAAGGATATGTTGTTAGTCACCTACAACAGGTCAGATATAGCAAAATCGACTCTATGTTATTGGTTTTAAACACAGCTGTGGTGCACACAGAAGTTTTGACTTGTTTTGGCTGATTAGACTTTCTGAGGACTATGTGTGCACAGACGGAGCTTGATTGACGGATACCGAAGGAGGAAGTCGGGTGACAAGGTATAAAGTCCACGTTATAGACGGAGGTTGGGGTAGATAGTAGATAGGTAGTCGACCGACCACAGGGGCTGGTTGTAAAGCTGATAATCAACGTTGTTACTTTTGTCCATCACCTGTCCATAACCTTAACAGCGTACGTATTATCGTAACCATGATGTCAAAGGTCATCATGGCTACAGGAGGCTGGTGCGCTCCTGTTGGGTTGTGCTAACCATGTCAACCATCATTTCATCAGTAGTGTTGTGTGTTGTATTGTTATTGTCAGTTATTGTCTGTGGTTAGTGGTGTTGATTTGTGTTGTCATTGTGTACATTAATACATGGACCCCAGGAAGAAAAGCTGCTGCCATACAATAGCTAATGGCTGTCCAAACAATCAAACCGTGTGGCCTTATTTCCACACTGAGCAGAGTAAATGTACAATGATCTGAGGAGACTGGAAGCACCATGAGAAGAAGTAACATCCACTGAAAACGAAACGTTAACCCACTTACCTTTTTGTTTACAGACACGTAGACTTTGCTGTTTTGAATTTTGACCTTCAAAAGACATAAAAACAAATTAAAATGAAAGAAAATTTCCCCATAAGCTACATGGCTGTCTGTCCGTCCGGTTTGTACCTTGTGGCAGGGTAAACAGTCGATGCCGGGGTACTCCTCCAGATCTCCTGTGAGGACATTGAAACAGGAACCATGCCACGGGCAGCGCACTCTGTTGCCTGAAATAAACCCTGAACACACACACACACACACACACACACACACACACACACACACACACACATCATTTACATACTGCCATGGATGGATACTGAACGGGCCTGCTAGGTACAGGCCCAGGGGCAAAAAGGGGTTTCAGGGCCCCTAGGCTGGAGCTTGTTTGAAGCGTCTGCTAACATTTCTTGTTGGAGAGTCAATCAAATGACTGCAAAGAAACACAAAAGAACAACAAAGAGACACAAAACACACACAAAGACATGCAAAATGAAAACAAAGAGACACAAAAACGACCATATAGACGGACAAAATGACCAAAGGGGCGCAAACGTGACAAAAAAAATCTGTCATCTGTTTCATTCTGGGTGTCTTGCTCCTATATAAGGGGGGCGCAGGGGGGGCCTTTGACATATTTGCGCCCAGGGGCCCATTATCTCATAATCCGTCCATGTTCAGTGTTACTGTTAAGAAACACAGCAATAATTTAAGATAAACTGTTAGACTGCAGAACATGTTGAAAAATGCTATATTTCTATGGAAGTCAAACTATTCTCATGTTTCATTTAATGTTTTATCAGCCTAAATGAAGTTGAAAATATCCCATCCTCCAAACTGAGTCTCATAAAGTTACTCTGTTCGCACAAATGTTGACTTCACACCTCCTGTGTTTTTACCTTTGCTGAGTGGTGCGCCGTAGTGTGTACACTGGTTACCAAGGGCACTGTATATGCCGTCGGTGCGTGTCAACAACACACTGTGATGTCCCACTTCAACCTCCATCATCCTAAGATAACACAAACACACACACACACACACACACAAACACACACACACACACACACACACACACACACACACACACACACACACACACACACACACACACACACATAGATAATGCAATAACTTTTACACCAGAATGAGATTATACTATAGACACTATAATGTAGTTGGTAGTAGCTACTGTTAGCATACAGTATTTGTCAGGTTTTATCTTCTCTATGTAGAAATATTTTGTGTTATTTTGTGTTACATCATGTATTACTCATGTATCCCAAATAGGGGGACTGAAAGTAAAGTGTTGCCTGTTATTCAAAAGGTGAGCTTGAAAATAGAGATTTTGTACCTGCGATCTTTGTTTAGTAAACCTGTACGTTTGGTTAAACTCTGTGTTGAAAGTTTGTATATTCAGACCTGTGTTTAGCCATGCTAGCATGACGTCTCTAGGGATGGAAACATCAGTCTGTCAGTCTGTCAGTCAGTCCCACTTTGAACTATCTCAATAACTATTAAATGGATTGCCATGAAATCTTTGTTTTTGTTTGTTAGTTTGTCAAAGAAAGACAGGTGTGGCTACATATGTGTGTGGCTATCATCTTTTATTGATTAATGGTTTATGACTTTATCACTTTTGATTTTATCACTTTGTCACTGTTTTAGGTTGCCAGGTTGTGAACATCCCCCCTCCCCTCCTTACTGTCCATCCTGCAGGTCTGACTCCAGACACACCACGGCTGTCAGCTCCTCTGATGTGTCCTCTGGATCAGAGTCTGAAAACTCCTGTTGGGCTGAACACACAAACACACAAACACACAAACACACGCATTTCAAATGAATTTAAGAATTTTATTTATTTATCAGTGAAATCGAAGTCCTCCATATGCATTATTACTTTAATTTCAATTAAATTTCAATATCTGCCCTCTGCTCTGTCATTCAAACAACAAGAATTCAAAGTTTACTCACATGGTTTTGCACCAGACATGCCTCTGGTTTAGTAGTAACACCACACAGATCCACACAACGCCTCCGGAAACATGAAAAGTTAGTCAGAAGAAGTTTTCCCTCAAACAGCCGTCCGTGCTCACAGATTGTTTCCTGCTCCTCAGCTGAATGACGGGATAGGAGACCGTTTCCACGGCAACCGGTCCATCCCCAACCCTCATCCCTTGTTCCTGACAGGCTGTGAAAACTGGACAATTTGGCTTTGATAAGACAAGCAAAATCAACCAAAAAGTGTTTTTTTGGACTCCAGTGAATGAAGAGTTTCAGTGATGCCCCTGGTCATGTTCAGCCCCGTTATTGTCCCACAGAAAAGCGACCACGGTCTTTTGTGTTTCACAACGGCAGCACAGAGAAAAGGCTGACGAGGCAGCAGCCGCCGACACTGAAAGGACACAACTCAACTTACACAACCGGAGGTGAGGGACGTACCATCACACACGCATCGTTTCAGGAGTTTCAAGATTCATCACCGAAAAGCTCAAAGATTTTAAAATACTAGAAAATCACTGAATGACAAAAACTGAAGAATATTACTGAGCAGTGGTGGAAAGAAACCAAGTACATTCCCTGAGGTATATAGTGTTATACTGTTGGGGTACTTTTAGTTTACTACTTAAGTATTTCTATCTCTGCTACTTTACTCTTCTACTCATGTTATAAAACACAATATAAAACTCTAGCAGAGACTATTGGTTTCTACATGGTTTCCTTTCATAAACTGTTCAAGACCCAGAGAGGTAGAATTACCCAACATTTCACCATTTGCTTCTATTTTCTCCTAATTTTCTTCTTTCATGTTCTGATATTGCTTGTGCATGGTCCTCAGAGGATGAACCCCAGTGACTTTGTTGATCACCTGACTTTTTGCACTGGTGCGGCCGTGAGGTTCACATTCATGGTTTTGAGTGAAATGTCTCAACAACTACTTGATGGATAGCTGTGGTATTTGGCGCAGACATTCATGATCCCCGCAGGATGATCTGTAATCACTGAGGTGACTCTTAAAGTTTTAATCTAGCACCATCCTCCTCATCTAATGATGATCGCATCAGTTTCAGCTGTAAACATTATACCTGTTTAGTATCAGCATGTCTGAGCTCAAAGCAACATCTGCATATGCACAGGACCAGAGAGCTGCAAACATGGTTAAAGACTCTTAGTCCTATTTATTTTTATCTTTTTCCCTTTTCATTTCCTTTCTTTTTTGGAAATGTTTAGGTTTTGTCACTGTAACTGCTGTCCCTCTGTAGCTGATCTATTTTCCCCTGACTATGAATACATAGTTACCTTGGGTTGTATTGAATGGACGACTGTTGCTTGTCGTTTTGAGATATGTAAATGTGATGCTTATTAAGTGGCAAAGCAACAATAAATGAATAAAAAATGCTATGGGAGCAAGAAAACAGTGTGTGGATTGGACTATTTTTTGCCAGGGAGGGAATCATACTATGATGTCGAGCCATCGTACGACCAGGACCCTTCACCTGTTATCACTGATCAGTTTATCACTCCACGTGAGGGGGAATGTGTGTAAGAGGGCAGGGATTACTTACAAATATACTGCATGTTAAAGACACTTAAGCAATATGTTTTCCTTTCTCTCCCTCCTCAAAGTGAATTTCAGTTGACACCCACCCACCTAAGATGTGCACGGAAACAGAAGCGTGCTGCATTTGAAGTGAACTCAGGGCACTGGGCTCTGTGGTGAAGTCTAGTTATGGATTTGAGGTCAACACTTCTGGTCATTGGAGGATCTGCGTGCTCCTTCAAACTGCTGAACACGATTGTCAGACTTCTGCCAACACCTGTGCCAGCAAGCAAGAAAGCCTGGAGGTGGAGGAATATCAGCACTTCTTTAGCTCACAGCTCGCTGACAGGAGCATGGGCTGTGTTGTGGTGCGTAAAGACACAGCAGTCTGGGTTAGTACTGTTATTTAGTCACATTTCAGTAGCTCTTCACTGTTCCTGTGGTTTGTCTCTTGCTTTGCAGTTTCTACCTTCAACCTCAGGCGGTGGAGGACCTGATCTCCTCTCACTCTGTGCTCTCCCACAGTCTTGTAGCTGTGTCTACAGGTGAGACTCTGACACTAACACACACAAAAGATCGGCAGACAGATTACTTTATCCTGCCATTAGGCCCCAGATCAATTCTCAATCTCACCACATTGACAATGGAAACAGAAAATGGAACTCAGCCCTCTCCACCAGCATTTGCATTCATTTCTTTAAAGTCTGGATCTATGAGAGTTTTACAATTATGACTTTGATCAAGTAACAAACCAAATACTGATCATGAAAGATTATACACTGACCGTAAAAATGTAATCCACCAAAACTTGCATTCTGCAAGATTTAACAAAGGGTTTGAACAAGCTTTAACTAAACCAGTGAAAGAGAATTTCAATTCTGCGAATCACTGAGGGAAATGAGTTGTGAGTCATGAGTTCACTGTTGTGATATTATACATTTCATGATGTTTTGTGCAGCATGTAAATGTGTATATTTGATGCATGCTTTTATACAACTCTCTCCCCTAGGTTATTTTATCAACGACCTCTTGGACTTGGCCATGAATCAGTCATTCAAACAGTCCTGGGAGCTGCTCTTCCACCACTCTGTGGTAATAAACTTTACACCCTATGTGTGTGTGTGTGTGTGTGTGTACACATGTGTACAGTGGAGGAGAAATCTCAACACACTGCACCTTTAGAAAACATGCATATAGATAAAAACACATGCACTTTTACAATCCAACTTATATATATATTTTTATACATATATATATTTATTATATTTGTCATAACACTGTGAGGTGTTCTTCTTAATTGGCCCAACCCTTACACACCTATGTGTTGTGATAATGACGAGGTCAGTGAATGAAACTGCACAGTCATCCTTCAGCCTTGATGTGTATCACAGTTTAATCTCTGTATGTGACAGAGGTCATGACCTGGTTCACCTCCAGCAGGCCAACACATCGCTGCCTTGGTGTGTGTGTGTGTGTGTGTGTGTGTGTGTGTGTGTGTGTGTGTGTGTGTGTGTGTGTGTGTGTGTGTGTGTGTGTGTGTTTGTGTGTGTGTGCGACTTTAGTGTCACTACGTCATAAAATATAAGATATGTTTTGAGGGAGCTGATTGGCTGCCTTTCGTATATGTTTGCTTGTAGCTGAGCTGAGGAGCCTCTGTGCAGTTGCTGATTTAACAGGAGAGGTCATAAAACCTTTATCTTCACAGAGATCCTCTATAAGTGAGACCTTGAACACCTCTATTTCATCACAGTTCAACTTCTGCAGTGTTGGAGCCTCACTATGTTTCAGTACAACTTTCTAATGATGCATTAGACTTTATGTTGCCAGGTTGTGAATAATATGTTAGTAGTGTACCCTCTCAATGTGTCTCCATCATCCTCCAACACGTTTGTTTGATCACTTTTAATCACATTTGGATCAAAATTTACTTCTAACTGCTTATCAGTGTTGACAACTGCAGAAATCTACATTAACATGAATGAATCAGTTAGTTCATACTCTAAACCTTTAGAAAGCGCTACCACAACACACATAGTGTACAAGACATTAATTAATTATTGATGTAAGACCCTCCTCTGCAGAACTATGGGTAAGAAGAGGTGACCTTTGAAGTTGTGCATGTGTGACTTTGTTAAAGTGAGAGTTTGGATGAAGTTTTGCTGCTTGTGTGTTTTAACCTTTGATTCGTCTCTTCAAACTCTTTCCTCAGGTGATCTCCTGCTTCAGTGTTGCTGTAACGACCCGTCTCTATCTGGGCTTCGCTGTGGTGTCGCTGTTTGTTGAGATCAACTCTGTTTTCCTTCATATCAGACAGCTCCTCCTCCTGTCAGGACAGAGGAACAGGCCCGGGACTGAAGCTACAGCCCCTCGCCCCTCTGTGGCCTACGTAACGACCAGCTGGCTCAACATGGGAACGTAGGTGGTGCAGTGATTCTCTGCTGGAGCTTTCACACAGTTCACGTGATGAAATCCACTGTCAAACTGCTTCTTGGACTAGATTGTTTTCATATGTGAGCGTGTGAAAGTTCCCAGAATACAATTTCAACTAGTGTATTTTCACGAGAAAAATAATTAATGCTGCTGAACACACATCATCACATTTTATGTTACTTAAATGAATGATCTGTCATACACTGAAAGATTATGATGGAGGTCAATATTCAAATTACTGACTATTCATCTCATTTCAACCTGCCTTAATATGCTGCTGGCTCATCCACAGGATGTTCATTATAGTGATATTCAATAGTGTTTTTAAAGAAATACATCTCAAGGCTTCATTCCTGGATGATTTGGTGACACATATGGTTACCATGGTAACAGGAAAGTACAGTTTAATAATTCAACAAACACTCTCTGAGCAGCTACTTCGTCAGAAATACAACAGAGGAGCAGCTGGTGGTTCTGATCACAGCGCAACCAAACAAGCTCATGTTCGTCAATAAGCAGTAAAGTTTGTGACCGTTCTGAGGAGTTAGAGGTGTCTGTCTTCTACAATCCAAGCTGAATTATCAACAGGGCAAAGTGGGCAACCTCAGACCCCCAGAGACCCCTAATGCCCCAGGTCTACTCTATATCATTAGGGTCTACGTAGTTTGATTAATCACAAATAGGTCAGAAATTTGCACCACTGAAGTAGAACATCACCTATGACAGGTCCTCCATCCTCCACCTTGTGGCCCGGTCTTGTGGAGGGAATCTGTGTCAAAGTCTAGTTTGACTCTTTTAGTTTATCTTGAGCTTGTTTGTCGTGAAGCTGTTTTTTATCAAAATGCTTCCATTGTTTTGCTTGAATAAGTAAAGTCAAGTAATTAACACACAGAAAACCTGAGGAAAGGTATCATTATCTATCACAAGCTGCAACAAACAATTGTTTTCATTATCACCACATCTGACAAATATTTTCAGTGGCAGAGTGTTGTACGATAGGACCACCCAAGGGTGGGGCATAACAACGCGTCAAAGTGTCTGTGGGTGAAATACTTACACCCAAAATTGCTCCCAATGATCCCACCAGTACCTTGGTGGTTGTGTGTGAATGGATGAATGAGAGGCAAAGTGTAAAGCACTTTGGGTAGACGCACCATATAAATGCAGCAGTTTGTTACATACAGTAGTGCTGCTGCATCAGCAGAGTGACTTTGGGACCAATCTGACGCCTCCCTGATGGTGTTGTGTGATGGATAAGAATATAAATATCTAAGGTACCTAAAACTTTTGTGCAGTACTGTATATGGTGACCTGATGTATTGACTATTTGTTTGTCTGTTTGCTCAGGTTTTTACACTGATTATCTGTCTTGCCGTCAGGTTTCTGGTGTTTCGTGTCTGTACGCTGGGTTGGATGGCCCGCTGGCTGGCAGGTCATAGTGAACATATACCTCGCTACATCCTGATGATGGGGACGGCGGGCCTGAGTCTCATCTCTACCATGAACACTGTGCTGTTTTACAGACTGCTCAGAGCAGACTTTCTCACTAATACACACAATACTAGTAAGAGCCACTAGAGGGAGGCAGCACTGCATTTCTCCAGGTCAAAAATAACTGATTCTGTTTTCTACTTCATTATGTGGCTAAGATTAAAGACTGAGTCAATTCCTGTTAAAGTGTTACATCAGAATATACTAATCCCCATAACTCACACTTTTATTATTTTTAATGGCATTTTCTCCCTTATTTTCATATGGAAGTGGACAGCAGCAACAAGGAATAAATGGGGAGAGAAACAGAGGTGCTATCCCTGGTAGCACCCAAACCTGGCAGGTCACCTGTTTTATAATAACAGATTAGAGCAGCAAATCACTCTACATCATGATCCTCTTCCCCTGGAACAAACTAACTAGAGTGGGACCTTTGCAGCTTGTGTTGGTTTGGACTTCTTCTCTGATACGTGGCAGGTGAATCTTCTCTGTTCTGGACTCCCTCTCATAGAAGGGACAAACCTTTAGATGCTCCGATATGGACGGCACGTCTTGGAAACACCAAGTGTCCACGGGAGAGAACAAGGTGCTGAACTGCCAAACCTGAAGTCACAGAAAGACACAGACCAGAGGGAGATTAAGAGGGATTAATTTAACTTGATTTAATTGATGTTTAACTTAATTTAATTTAGATAATTAAGTTAATTTAATTTGATTTAATCAATTTAACCAATATAATTCATTCAACTTAATTTAATTTAAATGAGTAGCTTTTACTTGATTTAGTTCATTTAATTTAATTTGATTTAGTTGAGTGAGTATAATTTAATAAATTTAACGTAATATTTAATGTAATAAACTGAGCAAATTTTTTGTTGAGTTTATTTGAGTAAATTTAATTTAATTTAATTGAGTAAAAGTTAATTCAATTTAATTAAAATTATTTAAATTTAGTGAATTTAATTTGTTAAATTTAATTAATAATCTAAGTGTAATTTATTTAACTCAATTTAATTCAAATGAGTTAATGTAATGTTATTGTTGTGACACACTGGCTCTTGGCTTACCCTGTGTTTCACCCTCCACTTGGCTCCTCCGTGTGAGTAGGTCTTCCTCTCCCAGCGGAGGGTGACCATCCCTCTCTCCTGCAGCAGAGAGGAGCACACCTGCCTCATGAGCCGGGACACCAGCGCCAGCTGGGACAGGGACAGACTGTCCAGGAAAGTGGCCATGTGGCACAGCACCTCATATGGCAGCGAGCTCAGAGAGTCCTCCCCTCCTCCCGCCCGACCTCCCTTCCTTCTCTGAGTGGTGGAGGAGTCCACTGAGCTCCTGGACGGCTGGGAGGCATCACCCAGAGAGGCAGGGGTGGTGGGATGCAGGCTGAAGCAGCCCAGATCCTCACTGAAAGCAAAGTTAAAATTGTAGTTTTTAAATGTGCAGTGGATTTTTCTGCACTTCATGGGACTCACAATTGCACAAATGGACAATTTTTAAGAAAGGATAAAAAATCGATATGATACGGAGATTCCAGTGTGTTATGCTATAATAAACTCACTTCTTTTTAACTCAACCCCCAGAGTTCCCCTCTAATTTGATAAAGGTTGAAGATTATCAAACACTAAGCACAAACTTAAAGCTGCCACAATCAAACATTTTCATAATAACAATGGATGAAATGACCGTGTGTAATGTGAAAGCTTGTAGTTACAAACCCAAACTACCCTCAGGTCTTTGAACCCTTTTAGCATCTTTCAGCTCACTGTCTTTGCTTTTATGGTCTGCAACTTTAATGTTCACAATACAGTAATGATAAAGACAAACTATAAGTTTTATCTCACTTGTAGGTGACGCTGGCTTCATGCGTGGAGGGCTGAAACCTCCTCTGGCTGTAGGTGCAGCCCAGGTACGCCAGGGGGCATCTCTGCTCGAACCATCCATTCACACCCATCTGTATGTCGCTGTGAATATTTCTGCATATAATAGCATATTTTAATTCATTAGAAAATGAAATGACAAAAAAAACTATACAATCATTTAATATAAAACCAGCATTTTCATCCCTTTACTTTCACTTTCTCTGAAAGTCTCATGTCCATGTGTTATTTTCATGACTGACCTGATGAGTTTAAACACAAAACTTGACTGATATTTGACAACTCCTCAGGTTCTATATCTCACTTGAATCTATGAAGAAACTAAATATTTTGGGGCTATAATTGATTTGTTTTCCTCCAGTGAAGGCAGGAAGTTAAAAAAAAAAAAATTCCTAAGGATATTCAGATAAAAAGAACAAAAACAAACCCCACTTATAATGTTTGCCATATTCTCTGCGCTGGAAGGTGTGTCCACAGAGGAAGGTGAAGGTGGAGCTAGCCTTGTGGTGTCGGCTGGTGACGCTCTCCACCTGCAGCTGAAGGTGCAGCTCCAGAGGTTTTCCAGCAGTCAGATCAGCCAGCGACGTGTTTCTCCGGAAAGGAGCGGACAGGAAGTTGTAGGTCTGCGTGCCTTCATCTTGTAACAGACCATCTGTGCACTGACTCTCTGCAATGAGGTGACCCCTTTGCTCCTTCTCCAGGGAGCACAGCAGAGAGGCCTGGGGAGCAAATCAAACGTAAATATTCAGTATATTCATGGGTCAAATAAAAGTAGAGTCAAGGACATTTTAAACAACCATGATGGCACTGAACTCAACCAATCAAGTGGTTTAATGCTTTTGAATGTTTTTCTCTTAAAACAAATGCAAATGTTCCTATTTTAAATATGGCTGCTGGTAAATCTGATTGTTTCCTCATGTAATAGATTGATCATGTTGAAGAACCGCTTGTCTACATTTGTTTGCTTAATCCTCTTTGCAAAGTCCTTCTGGTGCAAGTTAAAGACCCTCAGGAAAATACAAGCCTAAAACAATCTAGCAGCAATCTGTTTTTTATAATAAAGGTGAATCTAATGATTATGTGTAACGTGAACAGGGTTGCTGGTTGTTATGAGTCCAGAGAGAATCACCACCCAACACACTCAGCTCTACTGAGCATTATTAACGTTCTTCAACTCAGTGTTTTGGTTTAATGTCCTGTAACTTTACTGTTTTGGTTTACTATCACCACTCTCATAAGCTGTGCCCCAATTCAGGAGCCACATCTTTCAGAGGTTACGTTTGAAGACAGACTGCACCACTATATAAGGTGATAATAACGTGTTTGTTCTGCTGCCAAGAATCATGTTTTTACCAAAAGAAGCGCGATGGGATGAAAAGATTATAAGGACGATTTATCTCTCTCTCTCTCACCTGAATTTCCTCCCACACTGGCATCTCCACTAGTGCCACCCCCAGGTCGCTGGTATCCACAGCTTGACTCTCTCTCCTGTAGAAACCAGGGTTACGGATGCGGCCCTGCCTGGCAGAGAAGCTGGTTGGGATTTTAAACGTACGCACAGTGATAATCTTCATTGGTTCCACAGATCCATACACAAATTTCTTCTTCCTCAGTTTGCCGGTGCCACAGGAGGAGGAGGAGGAGGAGAGAGCCATACATGCGCTGCTCGCCTGTTTGCAGTTGTTTGATGCTGCTGCACCGACGCAGGTGTCCGCTGGGTCTTCCTCTGTCAGAGTGCCCAAGCCTTTACCTGTCCCATTAGCCAAGTCCTGGCCTCTGCCTGCCACAGCTGCCCCTCCAGCTTCCCTGCAGCCTCCCATCTCCATACTGAACATGCGCTCCCAGGCGTTGTAGTTGTCTAACAGATCAGTATTCACTAGTGATGCCCTGGCAATAGCCTCTCTTTCCTCCTGAGTTATCTCCTGCTCATATTCAATCTCAACCTCATCTTCATCCTCATCTTCTTTTTCATCAGGCACATGGATGTTAAACTTGTTAAAAGACTCCCAGGTCTGAGCACCGGCTTCCTTTGTTGCCGCCTCTTTCTCCAAGGAAGCCTTTTTCTTCTTCTTCTTCTCCCTCCTCCTCTCCTCTTCCCTCCTCTCTTCTTCTTTCTCCTCCTCCTCCACACTCTGGATGAGCTCAGGGAACAGTTTTTTCATCTTAATGGAGTGAAACAGGCGGTCCTGGTCTTTCAGGGCCATAGCAAGGTCCAGACATCCTCCCTTCTCTCTTTCTCTGAGCAGGTTTTCATGCAGCTCGGTGTTTGGATAAGAATGGGCATCGTTGGCCGGCCAGCGGTTCCACTCCATGGAGCAACACACCACGCTGGCCGGACACACCTGGAGGTGGGCAGCCTGCGAGGAGCGGGGAAGGTGAACCGGGCAGCCGTACCCAGCGTTGAGGCAAGGCACCCTCACGTTAGGGCAGAGCAGCAGGTGATCCTCCTCTTTGCACAGGTGGAAGAGAGCTCCACAGTGCAGGCGGCAGGGGATGACTGCACAGCACACAGAGACCTCCACCCGAGCCCTGCAGCGCCGACTGTAGCAGGAATCACAGTGGACATGCTGCCGCACCTTGGAGGCTCGAGAACGATGACTCTGATTGGATTTACAAAGGCAAAATGGAAAATGAAGGAACAGATTTTTTTACTGTATAGTAACATAACAAATATTACTTTTGCTTTTCACATTTCGCATGGTCAGTCATATTTATTAGCAGCACTCTTGACCCCATTGACCCACAGGTCACTTATTACTGTGCTGTGCAGCCAGACATTGTTCAAGGCTGAATTTGTGGAGTTAGTTTATAAAATGGTGCAAAACATATCTAAGATATCAACAATTCAGCCATAGAAAACATAGAGTTCTGGGTTTGAATACTTCACTTCAACATGGAATGAGATGATTAACCTTAAGAGCTACTTAAGGGGAAATAAAAAGGGCAAACTAGTTGAGGTTACACTTAATAAAAATAAAACCATACCATCCTTCAGATCCTCTTGCACCAGTTTTGTTCTTTAATCTGTAGCTGTCTGTCCTGCAAAGACAGACAGGGAACAATGAATCTCGAAGTCTCATAATACAATCAGCTTGAAAACAAAGTGCATGTAACTGCACAGTGGCAGGATTCCAGGAAAGTTCTGCAGCATTAGAGTCAATGGGAACAACAGGCTTTGGCCTACCACTGTAAGAGCTGGGAAGGAGAAAAGCATGTTCCGTCTACCGACTCCGTCTTGTGCTTTAAAGACCAAGTGTCTGTCCTTGCTATGTGTGTGTGCATGTTATAAATAGAGCTGAGTACTGACCCAGAATGTTACACAGGTGGTCAGAAACAAGGTTTGGGTTACCAGTCCACTCGGTCATCAGCAGATCTCTCTCACCTTCTTCCCTCTGATGCATGTTGTGGTGCTGCTGACAATTGATTTCAACCTGTGCAGAGAACAAAATGAGGCTGAGTCAGACTTAATATCCAAACACTGTCCTCTAGTGGAGATTTTAGATTAATCAATTAATCAATGTGCATTTTATTGCATTCACAGGAGATTAATAATTTATACTGTACCGGAAACAGGAGTACAGATTCATTAATTCATCCCCAGAATGAAGAGCTAAAAAGCATCTGATACACTTTGGTGGCTGTGGCTTGAATCCTCTGCAGTAGACAGAGAAGCTGAGAGGGGAGTTATTTCTCCTGCTGAACCTGTTGGTGCTGCTTGGCTAATTTTAACCCGCCAGTTCAAAGAGCACAGGGACTGAAAGCAATGTTATAAAACCCAAGAGAGGAAAGAACACGTCTGCGGCGGCACCTTGGTAAGACCTTTGTCTGGATAAGGTTTGAGCCCGTTGTGAATGTGTTGAAGTCCTTCGATAGTGTCTATTTTGGTTTATCTAAATTGCAAGCAGTGAAGTGAAACTTCTCTAACAAGTAATAAAACTGTAGAAGTAAAATATTTCAGTTGCTTCTTCTGCTTGATTGAGATATTTACAGTGCCACAACTGAACAACACTGGGCCTGTAATTTACCATTTACATTGAGCTTATCAGCTCATTTCACAGTAACAAGGTGAGTGCTTCTGAGCCAAGTAACATTGTTTTTGCATGAATTTGCATGAATGTGCAAATGCTTCCCATAACTGTCTTTTTTCACTGCTGATTAGTTGTGTGACTTTTAGACCTTTGGTCTGGTCCGTATGGAAATATCTCAACAACTATTGGCTGGATTGCAGTGAAATTTGGGACAGAAATCCATGGTCGCATGAAGTGTTAGTCTAGTGACTTTGGAGATCCTCCGACTTTTCCTCTTGCGCCATCATGAGGTTTACATTTGTGGTACAGTTCATGTTTCCTTCGGGATGAACTGTAATAACTTTAATTTGCCCAAATACTTTGGTTCATGATTTAAGTTTAAATCTGTATGTCAGTTTTCTTGCAGGATAACAAAACTTCTGATTCAAAGTGCTGTTAATATGGTGAGTCACAGATATAATTCTTCTTTCATTTTTAAAATTAGGATTAATCATACAGCCTTGATGCACCATGTTTAATATGCTCTATTTCTATCCCCATGCTTCTCTTTAACTACTCTCTCATCTCAGTTTCACTCCCTCTCTTTCTCATCCAATCAGAGTCATCGTTCTCGAGCCTCCAAGGTGCGGCAGCATGTCCACTGTGATTCCTGCTACAGTCGGCGCTGCAGGGCTCGGGTGGAGGTCTCTGTGTGCTGTGCAGTCGTCCCCTGCCGCCTGCACTGTGGAGCTCTCTTCCACCTGTGCAAAGAGGAGGATCACCTGCTGCTCTGCCCTAACGTGAGGGTGCCTTGCCTCAACGCTGGGTACGGCTGCCCGGTTCACCTTCCCCGCTCCTCGCAGGCTGCCCACCTCCAGGTGTGTCCGGCCAGCGTGGTGTGTTGCTCCATGGAGTGGCTCCGCTGGCCGACTGATGACACAAACCCACACAGTAACATAACCCTGCAGGAGAATGTGCTGAAGGAAAATGAAGGGCGGGATGAAGTGGCTCTGGATTTTGCCATGGCCATGGTTGATCAGTCAGACCTTTACAGCCGCCTGAAAATGAAGCCCCTCTTTCCAGAGCTGATGGAGGAGGAAGAGGTGGAGGAAATAAAGGAGGAGAAGAAAGAAGAGACGGCAGTGGGAGGGTTTGTCAATGGTGCCACAAACATTGATGCCAGTAAAGGTGAATCATGGCAAATCATCAATAAAACACTGATGCCTCCTTTAACAGAATGATGTCTGCTAATAAACCAACGTCTGTCGGTTTTTAACTGCAAAAATCTGAGGATTAAATCATGTGAGAATAATATGACACGGATTACTTTTAAAATTCAAAAAACTTTTGATATGCACATGTACATTACCTTCAGTCTTTCAAACTACATAAAATATTGCAATTTGTTTATCTAATGTCTTTTTCTTGGTTTCTCAACATCTCTCCTCTTGTATGGTCTCCCATGGGTCCCACACATCCATTCCTGCAGAAAACAGCTTGCGTCAGAATACTGTTGAAGAGACTGTACAGAACAGTGCGGGACAGCGGCGAGTCCTCAGCACAGAGACATACAACCTGTCTGAGATGATGTTCAGCATGGAGAGAGGTGGCTGTGCCGTCGCTCAGGCAAACCTAGACGATCCCAAACAAAACCCAAATCCTGGGGAAAAGGGGAAGGCCCAGAGTGAGAGAGATTCAAAAGAGGCTGAGAGGCAGGACACAGAGAGGGAAGATGAAAACTGCCATGAAGCAGACACAAGTAAGACAGGGCAGGCCCCGTGGCAGGAGGGGGTGCTGGAGCGCCTGGGGCAGGAGCTCAGCCCACAGGAGTACAACATGTATATTGTGCATCATGGGCGCATGCTGATCGCCTTTGGACAAATCGAGGCCTGCACGCCAAGGGACAAAGATTTTGTCTATGGCAGCCTGGAGCCTATTCCAGTCCAGACCGTGCGCTCTTTCAAGGTACAAGACAGTTGCCTTGTTCTGATAACTGCAGCCACTGTTGTGTTCATATGCTAATGTAGTATATTCTTATGTATTTCGTCCTATAAGGTCCCTGACAGTTATCACTACAGGCGGCGGGTTCATCTGTATGACACGGCAGCGAGGGCTCAGAGCGAGCCTCGCAGCGTGGACACATCAGACCTCGGGGTCAAAGAAGACGACTGGTTCAGTGACGAAGCAGCAGCCACCCTGCTGGGCTACGCTGAGGAGGAGGTCATGGGTCACAAGGTCAGTCAGATATCTGTGACAGTATAAATAAAATTATATAAACTGTACGCATGACCAAATGAGGGAGATGAAAGTGGAATTTAGTAAAGTGTATGTCTGGTGTTTTACTTTGTGGACACATATTACCACATGTATGGAGTGCTGCAGGAGTGAGTCCTAAAACTCAGAAATGAGTTAGCATTTTAGCGCTTGGGTCAGATCCAGTTCTGATATGGATACAGAACCTGGCACACAATTGGGTCAGATCTGGCTCAAGTCCAGTCCAGATCGATTCCCGATCTGGACTCCAAGACTCAAAAAATCTGATCCACACCGGTATTGGCCCGTGGACACCGGCCCAGGTCTCTTGTGCAGATCTGGCCCAGATTTTATGATGGCTCTGGGCCAGATCTGAGCCAAACTATTTATGTAGTATGAAACTGTGACTGAAATATGGCCCATTAAAAGTACATGTTAACCAGCAGTAACGTGTAAGCCTTAAAGGAGTAATACTCGAATTCTCTTCCTCGCAAAGTAGCTCAGGTTTGTCCAAAAACTTACTGGATTTGTCGCTCGGTGCTAAAGGTCTAGCGACAATTTGTTTTGATACAGCAAATTTGTGACGCACCATGGAAATGAATGGAAAACAGTGACATCCTGGAATGTGTCTAAAATGATTTAAGACTGTAAATACATGCAAAAATGGGTGTATGGCCTTTACCTACAGTTAATCAGGTCATGTGATCAATTGGTTTCCATGCAGATCAGCCAGTCAAAGGCAGCCGATGGGCTCTATGTTGACGTGGGAACACAGACGCACTCATTCCGCTCGGCTCCGTTCAAAAGGAAGACGACCCTGGCGGAGGTGATGGTGGACAGACCGCTGAAGCTTCGTCTGCAGCTGCAGGCAGAGAGTGTGAACAGCAGACACAGCAGAGCCAGCTGTGTGTTCTCCTTCCTCTGTGGCCACACCTTCCACCGCAGAGAGTTCGCCACACATGTCAGGTGTCTGTCAACACTACTGATGTGGTTGTGTTTGAGTTTGTGGTGTGAATGTGACTCCTTACTCCTGTCACATGTGTCATTTCATCAGTTTATCTCTCTTATCTCAAAGGGTTAACATTACAGTAATACATGTTGATTTGTCTGAGGAACAGGATGCAGCTGATTGGAAATGTCAACTGGAACGATAAATAGGCTGCTGTTCATATAAAATAAGAACAAATCCTGTTTTTATCTTTTGCATTTGTCCCCCACAAGAACATGAATGTTTTTCCTTAGCTGTGAGACCTGTGAAGTGAGTTTAATGAATGTATTAATCATCATCTCCTTTCCAGGAACGTCCACAGTGACATCCAGACATGTCTAAGTGGATGGTTCGAGCAGAGATGCCCCCTAGCGTATCTGGGATGCACCTACAGCCAGAGGAGGTTTCAGCCCTCCACACATAAGGCCACCGTCTCCTACAGGTGAGCAGAACTCACAGTGATCAGATTCCTATAGTTGGGTCTACAAAATGTCATATTGCTCTTGTGCTTGTATTTAGTTTAGTGAACAAATCATCACTATTTTTTTTCCCCACTACAGTCAGCAGCTGAGGAGTTTCAGCTTACGTCCGACCCTCGAAGCCGCTCAGAGAGAGGGGGGAGGTGAGGCAGGAGGAGGGGAGGACTCTCTGAGCTCGCTGCCGTATGAGGTGCTGTGCCACGTGGCCACTTTCCTGGACAGTCTGTCCCTGTCCCAGCTGGCGCTGGTGTCCCGGCTCATGAGGCAGGTGTGCTCCTCTCTGCTGCAGGAGAGAGGGATGGTCACCCTCCGCTGGGAGAGGAAGACCTACTCACACGGAGGAGCCAAGTGGAGGGCCAAACCTGTGAGATATACTAAATCATCCAGTCCGTCCACCGCTAACTGTGATGCATGTTTTTCTTTCCTCCTGACTCTTCTCCTGTTTCTCTCCAGGTGTGGGAGTTCAGTCGACTCTTCTCCTCAGTGGATTCTTGGCGTATGGCCGACATCTCTCCTATATCTGCTCATCTAAAAGTCTGTCCTTACTATGAGGCCTCTGTGCACAGTGAGCCTGTTCCCCTCCCCAGCATGAGCACGAAACAGGGGTGCAGCCAAGAGAGAACGAGCCTCATCAACCAATTCACAGGGAAACAGATGGCAACAATGAAGAAACGAGTTTAACACTTCCTGCTGTGTGTTCTTTAAATTATTTATTTATGTATTATTTACAGTGATGGCAAGATTACACTGGACAAGTAAAAAGATGATGTCTTAAACAGTGTGTCACAAAGCACAACAAATAAAATCAACCTGAACTTGTGCAGTTTTCCTTCTTAATGATCCATCTAATGTTCAGTATTATGGGATTAATGGCCCAGGCTATATGTACAGCTTTAATTTATTTACTGCTACATACAAACTGTATTATGATATTTGAATCTGGAGGATAAACTGCCACAGTTCCCTGCGTCTTCATCGCATGCATCCCCTCTCTAAATTGTCTCCTGTCTTTGAAGGGGATATTTGTAACTTTTCTCTGCCGCCAAACGCAGTTTTTTGCTAGGAGCAGGTGGTGGTGATTGTCACTAAACAAGAGCTTCAGCCATCTTTGCATTTACAAGACAAGAGGTTATAATACGCCCTCTGGGCAGCGCTACGTCTTCATTTTCATTCTTCAATGTGGGAAATCATCTTAAACAAAATATTAATCATAGCAGTCTTTTTGATTTATAACATGTCTGGAGAGGAACTTTAAAACTGGTGCCACCTCAGCCAGCTACAACATTCAATGCTGCTAATACTCAATTACACTAACAATGATAATATATTTTTAACTCTGCGAACCGGCACTATTTTCCAAGCAGAGCTCACTTCTGCCTCTGAATATGTAAGAATAGCCTCATATGATGCATAAACTTTTCCAAAAGACTGGTGGAAAACAAATCTACGTACACTTTAAGTCGCTGTCATTTTAGGAAATTACAAAGACAAAATCCTATTCCCTGTCTTGTTGCCAACAGCTGGTGGCCTACCATCATTTCCATGAAGCTCCTCCTCCTCCTGCTCCGTGGCACTGATCACCCCTCATACCGGGCTGCTTGTTGTGAATACAGCAGCGGCACCGTACTGCACGTACAAGCAGAAGGTTATGAGGAGGTTATTTCGACTGACTGCAGCAGGATCCGTTCACACTTAGAGAAACGCCATCCAGCTGCAACAGTGAAGCGTTTCACCCCGGAGCTTAAAGAGAAACGAGCGTCAGTTTGCAGACTGGACGTTTTGCACGAGCCTTTTGTTTTCTCCATCTCTGCAGCATCAAGGACGGAGATCTCGGGGCGATACGAGGATCCATGAGAAACGCTTTGAATAGGATACCGCTTCAGTATCACGGTAGGCCACGGTCAGAGTGATGAATGTACAGTTACAGGTAGACACTGAGCACTACTGACCAACGGTGCAGAAACCATAAAGCTGTTATGGGCGAAAAAGCAAACGAATGAGATGAAATATGAGAGTAGGCTTCAGCAAATAAGCTTACAAGAGAATTACCCAATAAACCTCTTAAATGTTGCAGAAAGACAGCACTGTAACATAAGCTAGGTCTCTAGTGGTTAGATACAATATTATCCCTCTATTGAACAGACTAACAGATGGTTCATCACTCTATTTTGATATGGAATTGACACTTACTATCCAAGCACTGTTGTATGTCAGGGCTCAAACTGGGACACCACTGTGATGTAAAGAGCTCTACAGGGAAATCCTAATACATCCAGATACCCACATCTGTGTGCAGGTTGTGTGGGGGTTCAGCCATGGATGCTGGGAGGCTGGAGCAGCAGGTGGCCAGTGTGGAGAGAGGCATCGCCTTCCTGAAGCAGGAGCACCTGGCCATGCTGACGGGTCTGCAACTGGAGATCACACACCTGAAGAGGCGCTGTCATGGTCAGTCTACCGGTGACCTGCTGCTCTCCATCTCTTTATGTGTCTCTTGACCACTTTACTACCTGTCTGTCTGCTTGTCTGTCTGTCACCCTGGCTTATCTCTGGCTCTATCCCTCTGTCTGCCTCTTGTGCTTCCACTGCTGCTGTTTGCAGAGCTAAGTTGTGAGCTGGACTCCAGGTTTCCTGACAGAAACACAGCAGGTAAGATATTACAACTCCCTGCTGACAGGGGGAGAAATGATATGTGGGAGATGCTGAAATTTTATACTATCATTACTGAGAGGAAAGGTTGTGCAGAGGCGGATCGGGACAATAGAGGGACAATGAGGAGCTGTTGAATGTTGTACATTTTTTCTATATTTATAGTCATTTGCTTGACGATAAACATTATTTCTGATCATATTTACTCATATTTTAGCTGTGTAAGGTTCCATATGTGTTTTTATCATTACATTTGTTCATAATATGGATGCACTGATTGATGCACCAGTGCCTAATCTGATATTGACTTTTTGAAGCGACTGACTATGACACAATCTATACATATTAAATACAGTTTCTGATATCAGCTGCATTCATCGCGTCACAGCGGCGTATTGAGTTAGTTTTTAGTGCCAGAGCTTCCTTAGCATCATTTCACCTTACACAAAAATGATCAGCAATGAGTTCTATAGTGGTAATGCAGGTACTCAGCACTGGCAGAAGCTTTCAGCATCAGTGTTGGGAGAGAAAAAGTTGGATAGATAGATAGATAGATAGATAGATAGATAGATAGATAGATAGATAGATAGATAGATAGATAGATAGATAGATGTAGCAATAGTAGCAGATGTGCAGAGTGATCTCTGAATCATAGAGCAGTAAACTTACTTTATATATGTGTATTATTTATTTATAACACACATTTACACTAAGTGATAAAGCAAATGAAGGAGGACAGAAAAGCACTATGAAAAGAGAGTACAAAGTGTAATATGAGAAGGACTGATGAAGCAGATGAAATGAGGGCTGTAGAGAAACAGACCAAAGAGTGATCTCCTCATCATCCTCCCTGTGCTCTGTTTGTGTGTGATGTGCATATATGGTGCAGTCCTTACTGTATGTGTGTATGTGTGTTTCTCAGAGGAGGAAGCAGAGCTGGCAGCACGCTGTGAGGCTGCAGAGCGTCTCCTGGAGGACCAGCAGTGTATGATGGTCGCTGTGCGCGGGGAGCTGCGGGCCGGCCGGGCACGAACATCAGCGCTCGGTAGGAACCTCAGGGAAGAAGAGCGTCGTTTCCTGGACGAACTGAAACGCCGCAGCCACAAGATCACGCTGCTGAGTCGTGAGCTGCAACGCCAAAATGTCACCACCACGACCCTCTGCCACGAGCTCCACACTGCACGCTTAAAACTGTTCCAGCAACGGCAGAGCGCCAGGTCTGCTGCAGAGGGAGAGGAGGAACCCAGAGGAAAGGATGAAGAAGAAGGGGAGGAAGAGGAGGATGAGGATGAGGAGGATGAGGATGATGAAGGGGAGGGCTCAGACTGGCTTCTGTCACCACCTCCTCCGGCCTCTCCCAGCCAACCAGAGGCGAGACACAGGAGGCGTGTCACCCTGAGAGAGGAGATGGTCAGAGCTTGCGTCCCACAGGAGAGAGTGACATCACCGCGAAGGCCACACCCAATGCCCGACCCCGCCCTCTTCTTGGTGCCGCTTAGATACCGCCTCCTTCGCTTGAACCAGCCAATCAGAACGCAGGATGCAGAGGGGATGGAGGATGAGTGGGAGGATATAGAAGACAGCAGGGTGCACAGGAGGGTGGACATGGGAGCAGGAGAGGGAGAAACTGCTCTGTGATGAAGATGGAGAGGCGACGTTGTCTTCCAGCGGGTCTCGGCCAACATCAATCAACATCTGCTGCAGTTATTCTAGAAAAAGCTTAAGATGAGAGAGCTGTAACCTTGTGATTATCTGTAGATTTCAGGAAGTGAGTTAGATATTTAGAGTTAGTTGCACAAGAGTGTGTGATCTACACATAGACGTATTAACGGAAACTGACACACTGAAGGTACAACATGCTACTTTGAAAATGAACTGAGTGGGTCAAGAAAGACTGAATAGTGGTACCGTTTCGTATGGATGCCTTTTGATTTTAACACTGTTGATCACAGCTTTTGCCTGTAATTAGTAGCCTTGCCTCTGAGTCTATGAACACTTACACCGTACTGTTCAAAGTGGCAACTGCTTTTTCACTGCAGCAGCCGGAATCCAGGTTCAGAGTCACTCAAGAAGGCAAAGGGACATTTTGTATGATTTGCACTTTATTAAATTCATGCAATGTGCCTAGTAATGGCAGAACAGTATTTCTACTGTCATGTTGTCTGATTTCAAGTTGTTAATAGGTTTGACATTTTGACTTGTGATAGTAGGAGGAGCACAGGTGTGACTAATAACATTAACGATGGCTCTGTTCTGTGTAAGTGCCCCAGTGAGTCTTGACAGTGAGCCAGCATGTACAATACCAAGAGCCAGAAACTGAAGCAGCTAAATGGAATTCAGCCATCATTCATTTTATTAGCTGCACCTGTGCTTTTTCGACCGTGACATGTCAAAATGTCTTATATGGAGAAAGAAGTCTTATGTTATCGGCAGATGGTTGTCATGGTGCTCAAGGTTTTGTATCAAGACCCCAGTTGAAGTTTTTACAGTTATTTTACAAATTGCTCTACAGCATAAACAATTATTGGATTGATTGGTTAGTCGATTCAAATCCAGAGACATAGTGGGGTTCCTAATCACGTTAGGTGTGTATTTTATTACTATAAATGGAATATCTCTGGGGTTTAGACTATTGTTCAGACAATTAGAGATATGTGGTAATGTCACATTTAACTAAGAAATTGTGATGGGCATTTCACATACTTTTACATTTTATAAACCACACAGTTGATTGTTTAATTAAGAAAATAATCTGAAGATTAATCAATAATAATCTTAACAGGTCCCACTTTATTTTAAATCCTCCTAGATGCAGTATACATACAGTTTATACCACACTATGATGTAGCTGTAAGCTGCTGTAAGGATATTAAGCATTTATGAATGTGCAGCATTTGTAACCAGTTATAACTTCTCCTATGAAAACATGTTTTATATTATCACAAATGTGTTTTACTACATTGTCATTCATTATGTTTATACAGCAGAATTCAGTTATTGGTGCCCACAGGGGGAGTTATAGTGGTCAACACATACATGAATTAATACTTAAATCTGCTGTAGTGTGCTATAAACTATTCATTAAATGTTTATATACTGCTTATTGATGCTAGATAGGGGGACTTCAAGTAAAGTGTTACCCATATGCTTTCATCTCAAATCCTGGCACTGGGTGGCAGTACAACCTAACCTAAACCTCACCTTGACTGGGATGAAAATGTAAAGTAGAAGTAAAGTAGTAGAAAGTAAAACTCGACACATATAGAGACTTTAAACTTTAAACTCTCTTTATATGTTTATGCACCATGCAGTGTTGACATAGTTAAATGAAAAGAGGGAGGGGGTGGAGAGCTCAGAGGAGGTATATATGCAGGATGATTGTGATGACTCACATTCTGACCGTCCTTCATCTGGGGAATCTGCATTTGGATCTACTACACAGATTTATTTGCAACGTGACATAGCATCCTGCTGAATGACACAGACGTGTGCGGAAGTGAATCTTTATTATTATTAACATGGGCCACTAGTTTTTCAATGATCAAAAATACGCAGTGAACAAATTAAATGAAACTGATAAAAAAAAAAAATGAAATGAACTCACTGTGGAGAAAAACTGGCATTATGAGTTGGTATTCAAGCACTAATACAAAACTACAACATTACTCACATGTTGTATTCAGTGTGTCGTACACCTGCAACTCGTCTCCTAGCAAACGTCCCATTCTAGAATGTTCCCACAGTTGTCTTGGAGACCGTGCTCAGAATGTTAATGTATCTCTGCAGCGCTGCCATGGCAACCAAAGAGCTGTGTTCCAGCTCATGCCTAATAAAAGTGTGCAAAGTGACCGGAGACTGAATACTGTTTCCAGGACTTTGTGCTTGGAGAGAGACGTGCTGTGACGTACTCATGCCTGTCATTTTCACGAGGGGGAAAACAAATGTGACGAGGTGCAAGCCCTCATGCTGCCGCTATTTATACACCTTGTGCACGTGCTCACATTCAAGGTTGATAGAGAGTGCATGGACTGGTGTAAGCACAGGAAGTTACATCATAAACGGCAGAGAGGTTGCCCTCTTCTGGACTTGGATAGGTACTAAGTGTGTGAATGTGCATGTGTGTGAATAGAGGGCCTACAGGCTCTCTCTCACAGCTCCTCTCCAGCAATGAAGGACAGACAGACACACACACACACATGCACACAGTTTGTGTAACGTGGTTTTCGCAGCAAGGACAGGGGAGCCTCCTGCTGTGGAGGAAAGCCTGAGAAACTCAGCTCACTGATTTCAGCAGAGGAGACTGGAGATGATGACACAGACTGGCAGTCTCCCCCTCTCTCTGCACTGGCTGGTAGGACCCACAGATTGATTTCACCAATGTCATGTTGGGTCTGTTTTATTGTTCTGTTGTTTGAGATATATGCACATGTTTTCTGCTGCAACTGTTTCCTCATGAGCTTGAAAAAGGAGTGTTACTCCCTAATTAGGTGCCAAGACATCAAAATGGTGTCTATTCAGTTATTTAGTGTTTTGATTTAGACAGTTTTATGTAGCAAACAAATTTAACTTAGAGGCATTTTTTTTACTCATCGTATCTTTTCACCTGTTTTTCAGGATTCCCACATATCCAGCATCATTCCAGAGCTCATCCGATGAGATTCAGTCTATGAGGTTTTCCAGTTCTTTCCACTGTAAGGTGACACCGCTGAAATAACACTTCATAATCTTCCTGTCATCAGCTGTTGTCTAAGGCTCTTAGCTGCTTGTATTCACACATGCCACACAAACAGATACACACATGTGACAGCGACAAAACCTTTTGCAGTTTATACTTAGCGGCTTGATTCAAAGTGATCATGCATTTGATATTTTCAGAGTTTCGCTGCTCGCTCTGGATGAGAGTTTCGAATCAGTTTCTCTTCTGACTACAGTGATTCGGGGGTAGTCTGAGGTGCTATATTGCACCTATAACCACAGTGATATGACAGAATACTAACCGCACTGCAATACACTTTTACATCACTGCAACAAGCTGAGACTTCAAACCAATGTAAGTCAGTGAAACAAAACTTTCAGCTGCTGTTAAAGAAAAAATGCAGTTTATTTCATCTGTTATTTTATACAGGTTTAATTTTAGAATTATATCAGCTCAGATCCCATTGAGGTCACCAAATATGGCTGAGATCTGTTTTTGCATTGTTGCTGTAGTTTCCCTCTAAGTTTCTGTTAATAGCTTGAACCCATATAAACACTGTGGTCTTTTCTCCCTTAGGTCACCTGCACAGTTGTATGCTGTTTTGTGCACAAAGGCACCATGGGAAACATAGTTCAATGCTGCCAAACACTGTCACACTACTTTAAATGTAAGGACACACCGGCCCAGGGGGAGGCGGAGAGGTCCCCTCTGCTGTCCAGCGAAGAGAGCGACTGTGAATCGCCATGCCTGCCGGACGACCTGGAGGACGACCTGTTACCCTCCTCCAGTGGTGTGACGAACCCGGCCCTCGAACCGGAGCACTTCCTGTTTCCCGACATCATCCTAAGCAGTAACCTGGGAGGGGACGTGACTCTGGTGGAGCCGATGGTGTGTCTGCTGGTGTCTGAGGAGGAAGAGGGAAGAGGTGATGGAGTGAGGGTGAATGAGCCAGGAGATGGAGGACAAGAGAGGAGCAACGCGGGGAGGAGCAGGGGGTATTCTGAGGTTGAGACACAGACTGAAATGGAGACGCAGATTGGTATGGGGGTGCAGACTCAGACAGAGTCACAGACAGAAGTTCAGACGCAAACAGAAATGCTCGTGTGCAGTAATCAGACTGTGGAGAGAGAAGTAAATACACTAACAAGCACTGTCACTACAAAAGAGATGGCGGTGGATGTTAAGGAAGAACATGAAATATTGAAACAGGTGGATGTGCTCCTGGAGATACAAACAGATACACAAACATCACGAGAGAGACGCTCGGAAACTGTCACTACTACGCCGCCAGAGAAACAAAATATAAGGATACCGGGCTCTGGAACCTGGTCTGACAGAGAAGCTTTTGCAGAGTTAGAAGAGTCAGGGAAGGTGGAAAGACAGACCGAGAAAAACAATCTGGCCCTCAGAGAGGAAGCTGAACAGGAGAAACTGAAAGAGAATCACATCCACAAGCAGACATTTAAAATAGAACAAAACACAGCGCTAAATGAGGAGGTAAACACTGACGAAGAGAGTATCTTTCAGTTGCAACAGAAGACTAAAGCTGCTCGGGGAAATACAGACATTCCCTGGACAGAGCGCCACACTTTGCAGACACAGGAGGATGTAAAAGACAAAGAAGGAAACATTCAATCAGAGCGCCCTTCAGTGATGCTGACTGAACACAATGTAAACAACATGGATGAGAACACTGTCGTACAGATGAAGCTGATAAAAAACAGCACTAACAACACTGATATGGGGGAGAACTTTGACCCTGCCGAGTGTCGTGTAGCCCTGACACAACAGAGGAATCAGGATAATGACCAGATGGGAGAGGCGACCGAGGTGTCAGATCAGAATGTAAATGAAAAGGACCATAGCATGATCCACACAGAAACAAAAATAAGTCCGTCTGAGGACCACACACATCAGACAGCTCATCACCCCGTTTTGAATG